AATTAGGAAGGGGTAATTAAGGGAGAGATTAAGCAGGGGGGTAATTAGTGGGGTGGTTGGGGGGGTGTCTGCCCCCGGGGGTTAATTAATGGGGTAATTAGTCGCTAATGAGGGTAATTAATGAGGGAGGGTAATTAATAAGGGTAATTAATGAGGAGTAATTAAGGGTGAGGGGAGTAATTAATGGAGGAGTAATCGGGTGTTACCCTAGGAGATAAGGGGGGTAATTACTGGTAATTAATGAGGGGTAATTAATGGGGGGATTAATTAGGGTAATTAATGGAGGACAATTAATGAGGGGTAGTTAATGAAGGGTAATTGAGGGGAGTAATTAATGGAGTAATTAATGGGGGATTAATCGCGGGGTTCACCTAGGAGATGAGGGGGGTAATTAGTGGTAATTAATAAGGGGTAATTAATAGGAAGAATTAATGAGAGTAATTAATAGGGCAATTAATGGGGGTATTGAGGTAATTAACAAAGAGTAATTAATGGGGTCATTAATGGGGTAAAGGGGAATTACTGGGGGTAAGTAGCCAGGGGGTTAATTAGCAATGGGGTTAATTAATGGGGGCTAATTGCAGTGGGGCAATGAGTGGGGGGTAAGGGGGGGTAATTAATGAAGGGGAATTAATGAAACTAATGGGGGTAAAGGGGGTAATTAAGGGGGAATTAATGAGGTAATTAAGGGGGACAATTAAGGGAATAATTAAGGGGAAGTAAGGGGGCGTAATTATGGGGAGTAATTAAGGGGTAATTAAGGGGGAGTAATTAAGGAGGTAATTAAGAAGGTAACAGCATGGGGCAATCAATAAGGAGTAATTAGGAAGGATAATCGGGGTGATTAATAAAGGGTAATTAATGAATGGGCAATTAAGGGGTCATTAGGTGCAGTAATAATTAAGGGGGTAATTAATAAGGGGAATTAATGAGGGAAGAATGAATGGGGAATAAGATGGGTAATTAAGGGGGTAATTAACAAGGGGGAATTAATAACAGCATTAATAAGAGCTAATTGAAAGGGGTTATTAAGGGGGTAATTAATGAGGGTGGGACTTAAGGGCTAATTAAGGGGGGTGATTAATAAGAGTGGGAAATAAGGGGGTAATTAATGAGAGAATTGAGGGGATAATTAGGAGAAGTAATTAAGGGACAATTAATAAAGGGGCAATTAATGAGGGAAGACTCAAAGTCTAATTAAAAGAGTAATTAATAAAGGCAATAATTAATAAGGCATCATTACCAATGAGTAATTAATAAAGGATAATTAATAAATGAGTGATAAGGAGAGAAAATAAGGGGAAAATTAATGGGATAATGAGGTAATTAAGGGGGGTAATAAGGGGATAATTAATAAGGAGGTAGTTATGGGAGTAATTAAGGGGGTAATTAATAACGGGGTGATTAATCAGGAGAGTGATTGGGGTAATTAAGGGAATTGGGGTAATTAAGGGAATAATAAGGAGTAGTTAATAACGGGGTAGTTAAGGGGGTTAAGGGGATAATTAAGGGACAATTAATAAGGGAGTAATTAAGGGGGTAATTAAGGGGGCAATTAAGGGGGCTAACTGCTTAAGGGAGAGTAATTAATCAGGGGTGATTAAGTGGGGGTGATTAATCGGGTTAAT